TCCCTGATTTTTGGACCATAGGCCTGTATTTTGTATCAGGTGTTCTATGTTCTACACATCTTGTACGAAGATAAATCTGTTATTCTTTCAAGTTGCCACAGCTCTCTTTCTTTAAATGTAATCATTCTTTTCTTTGACCTCAGACTTTTCTAGTTTTCCAGTTATTCTCCAGTTCAGCTTTTGCTGCTCATGTAGAGATAGCAAAAAGACGGTCAGTCATGAAAGAGAAAAACAGGATGCATGAAGCATGAAATGGGGAGCCAAAGGTCTATACTTCTAATCCTTCTGGAGCCCAAAGATAGCAGCCCTACTTCACATTTGGATTGTAACTTTTATCACTAACTCATTTGGCTCTTACCTTGTCATATTATCTGCTATACTTTTGCCAATTGGAAGGAAGTTATATCACAGTGAGTTTTGGATAACTGAGCTGTCTCTCAATTCTCTGGTGACCCTGAAGACAAGATATTAAAATGCCAGTCTGATTTTCAGTCCAAGATGTAGCCTGTGTTCTTGGCAATGTTATTTCAAAGTATGCTGACATTTTAAGCTTTTGTTACCACACCTACAGTTCTTTTCTTGCTCAAATCTGACTTTATCATGAAGGCCATCTGTAAGATACATACAGAGATAGAGAGCGAGAGAAGGATGATAACAAGCATACTGCTTTGCAGTGGGGAACTCATTTGCTATAGAAATGCACTGTGGGTTTTAAACTATGCATCATTAGTTTAAAGAGAAATCAGATAGTTAATGAAAAAGTGCTAAAGGACCCTAGGAGCTTGACAGGACCTCCAATCCAAAGGGTTGTGTATCAATGTTGTTATTTCCTGTAGCATTTATGTGCCATGCAAAAAAAGAGAAATTTAAGGAGTGAAACAACATAAATAATCCTGGTCAAAGCAGTCAAAATTTTGGGACTGTTTATCCAAGAGAGAAGAAAATTAAGATTAATATTTGAAAATCTATAACACAAAGCAAGGGGATTTGTGCTCTGTTGCTCCAGGGGGCAGGGCTAGAACAAAGAGTGGAAATTTTTATCTGTTTTATCAGTTTTATACTTATTTATGCAATGTTTTTGACACAAAATAAAAAATTAAAAGCCTGGAAAGCCTCTGCCACTGAACGTTGAGGTTATTATTGTTGTTTATTTTCTATTACTTACATTAATTTCTGTATCTGTTGATTGTTGTAAGCCACCCCAAGTCCCTTTGGGGAGAGGGGACGGGGTACAAATAAAGCTTAATAATAATAATAATAATAATAATAATAATAAAAATTGCCAAGAATTTTTTGTTAAGGCATTGGGAGAAACTTCAGAATAATAAAAACTATTTGTCAGTGAAAATACTAAGGTTTGCTATTATCCATGGTTTCACGTATCCATGCAAAGAATCCCACACTGAAAGAGTTCATATTAGGGGTCTTTAAACACTCATTACATGATAGCCTGCTTGTTACATTATGTACCATTACCTCCTATTACAGAGCTCCCAGTGGTGCAATGGGTTAAACCCTTGTGCTGGCAGGACTGCTGACCAAAAGGTTGGTTATTTGAATCCGGGAAGCAAGGTGAGCTCCCATCTGTCAGCACCAGATTCTTATGCAGGGACATGAGAGAAGTGTCCCACAGAGTGATAAAACATCCAGGCATCCCCTGGGCAACATCCTTGCAGAAAGCCAGTTCTGTCACACCAGAAGTGACTTACAGTTTCCAAAATCGCTCCTGACATGAAAAACAAACCTCCCATTACCATCAAATTACTTTAGGGTTGGTGAGAAAATGGCATGACTTTTGAAGATACTCTTTAGAAGTAACTTTGGGTACATAACAAAAGATAATGCACAACTTATGTTACTTTTGAAGTATGAATTTATTATACCATTGCTGTCCTCCAAAAACAATGAGGTCGAAGCAGCTATGTTGTTTATGGCTCATTTGCTCATTAGTTCCAAGACTCTGCCCTTATTTCTGTTGAAGCGTTAAGAATTGTACCAGAATTAGAAAGCAGTGGATGAAAGAGATTGCTCAAAAGCCTATTGGTATACTGAAAGTGTTAGTGGTTATACTTAATTTCATTGCTTTATTTATTTATTTATTTATTTATTTATTTATTTAATGTACAACCCACCTTTATCTCAGTATAGGACCCAAGGCAACACAGTAGCAGCAAGGAAAAGCAAACACAATCTGCCAGCTCTAAAAGGGCTATTTCTCCATTGCTTCCTTCCTTCATGCTGTGTTTATAGCCTTTTTCTTCCTGCTACCCCTGTTGTCAGCATGGGAGAAAAAAAATGTGTTAACCTTGTATCCAGTATAGGCATAACACACAATGTTCTTGAGGACTGAACTCTAATTAAATTCTTTTAACCCCTGAGGACTTTAATCCGAAGTTAAAATATTGAACTTCAGCCTGTACTTTTCTGGAAAATCCAGATTAATTTACCTGTGCCTGCAATCTGAATCAATGGGGGTGGTGTTTTGTGTGGGTGGATGGTTCAGGTAGATGGCAGGTCCAGTGATTTGCTGGCATGTACCATTATTTTTAAGTGTGTTTATTCTGATACAATTGTATTATTTTTGACGTCCTATTGAGGCTTCCATATTTAATGCAGTCATACGTATATTAGCATTGTGGAGGGCAATGGAGTGGCCATGTGAGCAAACATAATGCACTGTATAGCACACATGATCATAAAATGACTGTCCTTTAACACCAAAGTGAGCTTGCACAATGGAAACACGTGGCTGATAATACCATTCTCAGATTCTCATGGCATTAATGAGGTCATTATGAACCAAAAATGGGAGTTGAAGCAGAATTTTTTTCTGTGTGGACAACACCATAATTGTGTATCAAAATAATTCTGCCCATTATCTGTTAACAGAGTAATTTTTTCTCAAAGAAAAAACCAATTAACAATAAAAATCCTTTCACTTGATTTCACTTTAGCTGCAATGAATCCCAATATTTGCTGTTTAGGGTGGTTGTTTATAGTAATTGTTCAGACAGAGGTATTGCCCCACCATACAAAAAAAGACCCCAAATTCCATAAGATATTGCCATGGCAGTTAAGTTGGAATCGCAGTCCTATATTAATGCAGTGTGAAAAGTGCATGGTTCCATCCTATGCTACCCTAGCTTTTGTTATTGTGTATATTATTGTGTGTCTTCAAGTTTCTGACTTCTGCCAACAGTAAGGGGGGTTTTCATGGCAAAACATGTTCAGAATCAGTTTGTTGTTGCTGTCCCCTGAGACTCAGGGGTCTTCTACACATGCATTAAAACCCAAGGAAGCGAGTTAAAAGGGGGGGGGGGTGGCAGCTAAATGACATTTAGGTAAAGTGCAGGAGGAATCAAGCAGAATTGAGTTTAATGGCTGGAAAACACGTGTTTAAAAGGTGCCCTTTAAGCCCGATTCTTCCTGAGAAATATGCACCTTTCCATACCTGTGTTTCCCAGCAATCACAGAAAACACTTGCTCTCCTTCCTTCCTTCCCCCCGAATGGACTCCTTCAAATACAACTCTCTCAAATTCTGTGTTTTGCACTTTGTAATGTTAAACAGAGTTTGAATTAACAATTGGGGGGAAACAGACATCTGAGGGAGGTTTCTTTAAAAAAATTGCTTTGTTATGTGCTGGACTTTTGGAGTGATTTAATTTTTTTTAAAAAAAAACTTCTGCCGGATATCCCTGTCCATCCTCCATCTCAATCTGCTTTTTTTAAAAATAGCTATGAGGACAGTGGAGAACTATGCAGCAGGACTGTCAGGTCTGTGTTTAGACTCCCTTTGAGGTCCCACATTTTAAAAACCCATTTCTTTGTCTCATGTTTTGGCACTGTCTGGAAGCACCCTGAGCATCTAGTTTGTTGCAATACAAGCACTATGAAGAGAGGGTAAAAGACCTTATAAAACTAAAGCTCCCATGATTTAATATTGAGCCATGGCAGTTAAAATGGTATCAAGGTACATTCATTCTACAGTGTAGATGCACCCTAAATTTTATATCCCATACTTTAATTGAAGCCATAAGACCTTCCCCAGATTCTAAGAATATTTGTTGTTGTTTTTCCTTGCACTTCATACTTTTGAAAAACTCATTTCTGATTGTATGTTTTTACTGTATGATCACTGTGCAAAGGTCTGACATATTTGACTTATACTTATATATTATAGATAAATTATTGGCAGTATTTGTGTTAATGAAACTTGGGGTTCTTGTAATGATATCGTATTTTAGTATTGCAATAACCCAGATTTTTTGTTTTTCTGTAAAGCTTTTCTTGTGTGGTGAACCATTCTGCGCAAATGAAAAAGGATTATGATTTTCATTTCTCCCGCTATAAAGCATTTTGTCCAACACTTCAACTGATTACAGACCAATTAAAGAGAGGAAAAGAATTTTTGTCTTCAGGTGTACAGCTTCAGATAGAAACACCAAAGGAATACAAAGAGATGGTTGATGAGATAGAGAAAATAAGTAGGCAGTAATTCTTAATGTTATGGTTCACACATTTCTTTCTATTCCAGACTTCAGTGGTATATAAAGGGCAGGCATCCAACCCACATTAACTATACCTTGTCTGCAGTGATAAAGATAGCCTGCTTGGCTTGCAACTTTAGTCACTCCCAATGTCTCTAAATAGTTATAATTTACCTCTTTTCTTGGGTAGGAAGCAGGTGACTCAGGATGAGGCATTACATGCAATTTCTTCCATGTTGGCACCTGTCAAGCTGAATGAATGCAGCCACTGTATCATGTCTTACCCTAGAAAGGATTGCTTGAGGGAGAAGTGAACATTTTGTTGTGTTGTTAAAAGCAGAAAGAAGTCATTATATCCAACTAAGACCTGCATTCTAGCCTTGGAAATTTATCATGCTGTTATTTCAGAGTACTCTGCACAAATCGGAGTGAACTGACTTGGATAGGCCTTTAAAATTATACTGTATTATTAATGTTGATATCACTAAAAATTTTCCTATTTCTCTCTTCAGCAACTTTGAATCTCCACTGATGTATGAAGCTTCAGAGCACCAAAGTGTTGGCACAGATAGTTCAGGAAGCAGCCTTGGAAGCTCGGTCACAGCATGTAAGAAGGTAATTTCTTCCTAACCTTGTATTATTGTTAGCCAGTAGTGCAATTATATGCTTTAGCTTTTGACTGAATTGTGAGCTGTATATTTAAACAAAAAGGAGGGAAATTCAATATTAGTATCTTGCTGCTTGTGAAGAATGTACAAATGTTGAACTGACAGTCGGTTACATATTCCAAAAATGTGTTGTGCCATCATTTAGGGATGACCTGATCTTATGGCTCTGTTTCAACTGTGGAGACAACAAATAGTAGCTTGTGCCAGTGAATCATTCAAGGGCAGATGGTGCTAGGAAGTGGGTACATATCGCACCGCCCTGAAGCTGCTGGAATGGGGGGTTTGAATAGAAAGGGTAGAGTTGACTCCCAACACTAGATTAAAGGGATGAGTTGCCTGCTTCATTTGATGGTGGAAGCTCATGTGCCAGATCCTATGTGTCATTTTGTTCACTAGAGAGGATCAGATAGTAATTGTGCTTTCCAAAATGATAATACACTTGTGGCCGTTTTATTGCTTTTTCATCTCATTGACAGTGAAATAACCCGTGATTTCCTACAGATATGGTTGTTTTGGGATGCTTACTAAATGAAAGTATATGTCCTGCAAAATGTAAATAAGGTTTAAGATTAAGGCAAAAGCAGATCTGGGAACTGAAAAAATAAAAGAAAGTGGAAGCAAGGCTATATGTACACATATTAACTAGAGAGACATCATGCACATTGTAAGAAGGGATAGACTCTTGTGTATGTAAAAAACAACAACAGATATTGAGCTATTGTCAAAGGCTTTCATGGCCAGAATCACTGGGTTACTGTGAGTTTTCCGGGCTGTATGGCCATGTTCCAGAAGCATTCTGTCCTGACTTTTCACCCACAACTGTGGCAGGCATCCTCAGAGGTTGTGAGGTTTGTTGGAAACTAGGCAAGTGGAGTTTATATATCTGTGGAATGGTCAGGGTGGGAAATTCCTTCTTTCTCCTGCCCTGGACATTATATAAATTTCACTTGCCTACTTTCCAACAAACCTCACAACTTCTGAGATGCCTGCCATAGATGTGGGTGAAACGTCAAGAGAGAATGCTTCTGGAACATGACCACACAGCCTGGAAAACTCACAGCAACCCAGATATTGAGCCTTTAATGTCATCCCTTTCCGTAACATGCAAGTTAACATATCCCATGTATTCTCAAAGCAAGGGATGGATAGCTTGCACATATTGCTTAATTAAGACACATTATGGGAATGGAGAAAGGAATAGTTCTCACCTTTGGCTACTTACTTGTAGGTTTTCTGGCTAACAGTTTCAGATCTGTGATGACCACAATAGGAAGCTCAAAATGAATACATGTTAGACATGCCGCCTCTCACTTTGAGAGTGAAAATTCAAGTGCATTTGAAAAGCTTTGGTATTGTTCTCTGCTATTTTGTTAGAGCTCTACATTTAGTCCTGCTCAGTATTTCTACTCACCCACACACCATGTAGGAAGCTTTATTTTTCTTTCTAACAAGGCAAGGTCCTTCTACCGCTTCCCCTGCCTCTTCTGGTTGAAGGCAGGTGGTGAAGACAGAACAGGTCTTTTCTTAATTGGAGTGATTGCCCTCATTCAGTACGCTTATCACTTATGTATTTTAAGCACTAGGTGAAAACCTTTATCTTTACTCAGAAATTTCAATGTAATATATTTGCATGTTTTAAAATTACTGCTTATTATTAAGTATTGTTGCTGCTAGTTTGAACATATTTTTTTAAAGTTTAGTGTAATATTTTGGGCCAGTGTTGGCATGTATTTTAATCATGTACTTAAATAAACCAACATGGCCACCCACCCGTCACCTACAAATAAAATTACTCCTTTCCATAGGAACATTCTAGGAGCAACTAGCAAAGATTACTTGTTACACGAAAAAAAGCAACATTTTTCGCTTTGACATATTTTTTAAAATACTGTGATTGTGCCCTCTACATTTTTTGTGTGTCAGGAGCGACTTGAGAAACTGCAAGTCATTTCTGGTGTGAGAGAATTGGCCACCTGCAAGGATGTTGCCCAGGGGATGCCCGGATGTCTTTTGATGTTTTACCATCCTGTGGGAGGCTTCTCACATGTCCCTGCATGGGGAGCTGGAGCTGACAGAGGGAGCTCATCCACGCTCCCTCAAGATTCGAACCTCCAGCCTGTTGGTCTTCGGTCCTGCCAGCACAAGGGTTTAACCAATTGCGCCACCATGGGCTCCTGCCCTCTACACTGGAGATGATATTACTATGTATATTGTTTTACTTCCATGTTCTTCATGTGCCTGTATGGCATTGCACACTATTGCACACAGACCTTGGTGATCGAAAAATGTCTCCTATAATTTAAATGTTTATCACAGCCTTTTGACAACCTACTTAGCATTTTGAATGATCAAAAAGATATTCCACTCCACATAAATACAATCAGCTTGGGGTTTAACAACAGCTTGAACCAGGGTAAATTGGAAGAGATATTACAAGATGTGTTGACATGGGGGAAATCTCTGAGATTTCATTATAAGCTGTCACAGTCCCACAGCTTCTCCTACACATTACATTAATGTAATTTGTTTTTAAATGTAGATTTATCATATGCAGTGCACTGGCACTGGTAGAGAATAAATTATGCTTTTACTTTTAATTAAGTAATTATTGGCAGGAACAGAGCCCTACCCACCCCCAATACTATTCTGTGTGCCAAATACTACTACACTGCCCTCGTTTAAATAAAATTTGTAGAATAAGCCCCCAGTGCCTTATCTCGTTTTGCATGTTCTATGCTCATCTTTTTCTGATGAGCTATAATTAACCACAACAATTAAAGATAATTAGGTAAGAACATATTAATGTCTCATGTATCAAGCAGAGGAGCTTTAAGGAGACAAACAGTTGTGCATTAATTATGATATTAGCTATTTAATATGGAATTTTAGATACATTGTTACATTTAATATAAAGTGTACTTTGCTATCTAGGTATAATTATTTTCATTCCATGCTGTGATGAATCTAACCTTTTGCCAGGAAGGCCGAAGCCTGAAGTCAGTAGCTGACATGTTGAGAGATAGGCAGGAAAGCTAAGAGGCAAGAGGGAGGAGTCAGCCGACTCCTGATTGGCTAGAGCAGTCAGGGGAGGAGTTAGGTTTGAGAGGGAAAAAAGGCTGTGTCTTTTGACAAGCTGGAGAGAGTGTAGAAGGATAGTTAGGCAGAGGGAGCTGTGAAGAATTTAGACAGAGAGAACTTTTGAAGTGAGTCTTGAGGGTTAGAGCATAGGAAAGGCAAAGGTTCCTGAATCACTGCACTTAGTAGGGTCAGTGTAGGAAGGCCTGTTTGCTCTGTGAGGCAGTCAGTGGACTGTTCTCAGGGACACAGTGTCAAAGTAGTGAGCAGTGTGAAGCAAGGAACTCACAGGAATCAAAAGTTGAAGTCTTAAGAAAAGACTGTCTGTCTAACCAGTTAAGCCTCTGAAACGCATCAAGCTTTTGTACCACTCTTATTAAGAGAGTTGATTTGTTCATCAAGTTTTAAATAAACCTGTTTCTAATTTTCATCTTTAAACTAGTGTCTGCCTCGGTCTGTCACAATCATTAGACCTCAGTTAGCCTGAAGACAACTTAATTTCAGTCCAGTCAGCGAAAGAAGCAGTCATTAAAGAAAAACTAAGGGCTTGAATATACTTTACCAATTTCACATTCACACTTATGTTTTTCCTCAGACATTAATTGAGGTGGTGGCGGCGAATCTACCAATTACATCAGTATTTAACATCGTTAATACAGTTGGTCACTTGATAATAATATTGAGGTGGGATAAGAGAGTCTTTCCCCCTTGTCTTAGTCATTTATCGTCATTAAAGTAGTGTCCAGCTGAACGTTAACCCTTTACATTGGTGGGCAGTGGGTGTGATTGCTTGTCCCCCCTGCCAAGTGGTCATTGATCTTTATTACACATGCTATACAGCGTTTTGGTTCTTGTGTACTTCATGTTTTGCTAAGAATAATCTTAGAAATAATATTCAAAGAAAAAATGGAAAACAAGCTTTTCAAGTGTCCAAAAACATGAACAAGGAGAATCTTCTTCAAGTCCCCTTCTTGTCTCTCCTCCCCTTCCATCAGCTCTTGATTAAACTTGAAAATAGGTCCAATTTCCTCACCTCAAACCAGGCCCGTAGCCAGGATTTTGATTTGGGGGGGGGGTGAGTTTGATTCGGGGGGGGCTGAGTCTGGATGAAAGAGGATCTACCCTAGCAAACCTTTTGTATTGTTACCCCAATACCCCCATACATATGGGATATATTGAGAATAGTGATCAGATCATGATATTAATAAACATAACAGTTTAAATAATGTACCAGTAAGGCCTTCTCGCGAACCACCATGAGAATTTCGGAGGGGTCTGAAGCCCCCATAGCCCCCCCCCCCCCCCGGCTACATGCCCGCCTCAAACTTATCCATTTCCTTTCTGGAAGGCTAGAGATAGGGATCCAATTAAGAAGATTGTTGTTCTGGACTGTGTTCTAGTAGCCAACTCCAGATAACAATGTCTGCATAATCATAAATCAGCTATCAGAATACAGATAGCAAGGGTAGACCTGTCTAGAACACTTCCTGACTTCCTCACACTGTCCCAATGTCACATAAAGGTCAGACAGATGGGAAGCAAGAGAGTATCCTAGGGCACTATAACCTACCTGACCTTCATCACCATCCCTCCCAGCCTCCTGGTATCACTTGAGATGGATGGGTGGACGTCACAAGAGTGGGGAGCCAAGATAGAATCTTGAAAGGCTATCACCTTCCCATCTTTGTCTGATTTCCCGCCATTCCTGATGTGATGGGACAGCAGGCAGAAAGAGCCAAAACAAGATCAAAGAAATCTATAACCTCCTTCCTAAGTTGGCTCCTTCCCCACATGTCACTACAAGACCAAGGAGGCAAGGTTGAAACCAGGTTAGTTAGGAACCTCATTCATCTTCTCTTGCCACTGTCCTAATGTTGCATAAAGGCCAGTGGGGAAGAAGCAATTACAAGATATTTTTGAAACTAACAAGGAAAAACGGATTAAATTATTTGTTCTCCTTAATGGGAGCAAATAATTGTACATAGCCCACCACTACCTAAGAGAATGCTATTATATATCTAGAAGAGAAAGTTCCGCGATTGTCTAAGCACCCGTTTTATGGCTGGACCACAATGCTTTATTTTTGCAATACAAATAGCTTTTCAGAGGCAGGAATAACATTGTTCTTTTTCTGGGTCTTTAGTTAAGCCTTTAAGAAAGATCAAGAAGGTTGAGTAGAGTAGCTAAAATGGAAAGGGATTATATTATTTATAATAACCAAGGAAGTACCAAATCTTGAAACCATGCTTTGAATCAACACACTTTCCTTCTTAATTTGCAAGGTTCAACATTTGTTTCTTTCAGCTCAAATGTTATGGCACGTTATATTGTTTACTAAAGAAAATATTCACTATTTTGCTTTCAAATTATGAAAGGGAATTTACTAGAACATACATATTCTAAACATAGAGCAGCATGAGATGAGGGAAAGTTTTGTACTGTATATTTTATTTTAAAAATGCAGGAAGCATAAAAGAATCTGTATTAAATCATGTCATAGTTAATGCAAAATTATTACATTTTAAATAATGACAAATAAAGAAACAAATGTTTTTGTTATTAAGAATAATACATAAAAATCAACTTTAGTCTGTCAAATCTTATATAAAATGATTAGTCTTTTTTGGCCTACAGCCCCCTTTCAGAAAAAAAAATACACAGCACCTTACTGGAAATCTACCTTCTTAAAGCAAAAGTACACAAAGATACAGTGACAAATCTACATTCTTCTATGTATCTATATGTATTTTCGATAGAGTAACAAGCTGGCTAGAGACAGGGAACACTGTGGATGACGCGTATCTGCATTTCAGTAAGGCCTTCGACAAGGTCCCCCACGACCTTCTGGCAAACAAACTAGTCCAATGTGGGCTAGGCAAAACTACGGGTAGGTGGATCTGTAATTGGTTAAATGAACGAACCCAGAGTGTGCTCACCAATGCTTCCTCTTCATCCTGGAAAGAAGTGACAGTGCCGCAGGGTTCTGTCCTGGGCCTGGTCCTGTTCAACATGATTATTAATGACTTAGATGAAGGGTTAGAAGGCATGATCATCAAGTTTGCAGGTGACACCAAATTGGGAAGGATAACCAATACTCCAGAAGACAGGAGCAGAATTCAAAATGATCTGAACAACTGAAAGAGATGGGCCAAAATTAACAAAATGAATTTCAACAGGGACAAATGCAAGATACTCCACTTAAGCAGAAAAAATGAAATACAATGATACAGAATGGGGGATGCGTGGCTCGAGAGCAGTATGTGTGAAAAGATCTTGGAGTCTTCATGGACAACAAATTAAACATGAGCCAACAATGTCATGAGGCAGATAAAAAAGCCAATGGGATGTTGGTCTGCATAATTAGGAATATAGTGTCTAGATCTAGGGAAGTCATGCTACCCCTCTATTCTGCCTCGGCCAGACCACACCTGGAATACTGTGTCCAATTTTGGGCACTGCAATTGAAGGGAGATGTTGACAAGTTGGAATGATCAAGGGTCTGTACAATAAGCCCTATGAAGAGCAACTTAAAGAGCTGGGCATGTTTAGCCTGCAGAAGAGAAGGCTGACAGGAGACATGATAGCCATGTATAAATATGTGAGGGGAGGTCATAGGAAGGAGGGAGCAGGCTTTTTCTGCTGCGCTGGAGACTAGGACACGGAACAATGGCGTCAAACTACAGGAAATTAGATTCCACCTGAGCATTAGTAAGAACTTCCTAACTGTGAGAGCTGTTCAGTAGTGGAACTCTCTGCCCCAGAGTGTGGTAGAGGCTCCTTCTTTTGAGGCTTTTAAACAGAGGCTGGGTGGCCATCTGTGGGGGGTGCTTTGAATGTGATTTTCCTGCTTCTTTGCAGGGGGTTGGGTTGGATGGCCCACGAGGTCTCTTCCAACTCTATGATTCAAACAGTTTTTCAAAATATACTTCTTTCTTTAGGTTGCCATTGCCCCTTTATTTTTATTCAATGCTTCCCTGTAGCACTCGAGGCTACTACCAACCCCTGGATCATTGTAGTGTCTCCCAGGAGGCAATATCATCAACTTTGTGGAGCACTGGCCCATAATATGGTATGTTTCTTGCCATAAACATGGCTACCTCTCTTCAAACAGCAACAACTACAGCAAATAGAAATGTCTCTTTATTTGAAAATCTGACATTGAATCATATAGCCATGACACTTTTTTGTGAATATTTTTAAAACAAGTCATGGGCCAGTTTGCCACTGAATTTGGCCTTCAACTAGTAGATTAAGAAGAAACCTAAAGGGAATGGGTACAGTTGTAGTGGCTAAGACAACTTTTTGAATTGTACCCTTAAGCGAGACATTGTTTTTGTGCCCAGCATGTTTTCTTAACCATGGAATTTGACTGCAAGTTCTTCTTTGTTAGAGAAGTCTCATTTTTAGGCATGATGCAGGAACATTTACAATATAATATTACTTAATCTGTACTGAAGCGAATGTCTTTTTCATCAGGTTTACAACTAATGCAAAGGTCAAATATGATAAAATTTACAACATATAGCTCTTCGGGACATTTGGCCTTCCTAGAAACTCATTTACTTTACATGATTAATCTCAGGCTGCCTTAAAAGGGCCATCAACCTACTGACATTGGGGATCTCCGGATTAGCTCAAGATGTCCAATGCCTTATTTATTTCTAGGTTATCAGCTGACTTCTTTGGTTATGCAACAAGCAGTAACTAGCTATAAAAACTAGAATACATTGGGCCCTTGGTGTCTGCTGAGGTTTGGTTTCCAGGACCCCTTGTGGGTACCAAAATCCATGGGTGCTCAAGCTCCATTATGAACAACGATGTAGTAAAATGTTCTCCCTTATATAAAATGGCAAAATCAATGTTTACTTTCTGAATGTTTTACCATATTTCAGGCCATAAGTGGTTGAATCCATGGATACAGAAACTCTATATACGACTAGTTATTTTTCTAAGCTCTGGCATATGGTTGATCCAGAGCTTCTTCTTTTCTGTTTTCACTGTCTTGTGCTACCTACCTACACCATGATTTGTTTTAATGAAATAATTATGTTCATGAGCTAACTACATTATATAGTTTTATGGGTTAATCAAAGAATTGATTCAAAGTAAGCAAGTCAGCCATAAATTATCTAAGGAGTGAAAATTGAATTGACTAGAAAACTTTCCAAGAAATTAGACTCAGTGTGTTAAATGAATGCTTGCATTAAAAAGGATGATTAAATTCTTCTGCTTCCTCAGGTTCTCTGCAGTAACAGCTTGCTAGAATCAACAGACTACTGGCTTCAGAATCAGAAGACACCATGCCAAATTGGTATAGTGGAAGACAAGGTGGAAAAGAACTACACTTCAGTAAGTCCTTTGTGCTATTTGAATGCTTGAGGAAGAGCAAATATGTAGCCAGAGGTGATAGAGGGGAGTATTATTTATGGTTTTTATCTTGAGATTGGCTCATAAGAGAATGAGTAGCACTTTTTTCTATGTAATTCTTCCCACTATGTGAACAAAAATGGGAAATGGAGAAGAATTCCAAAACAAACCAGTTTCTCTCAGTCTAGTACTTTCCAGAGATGTTGGGATATATGCTCCATTACATAAGCCAGCATGGTCATGGTGGATGATGAAGAGGTGAGAGCATTTGTTGGTGATGGGTTCTGTAGACAGCGAATTCCTGCAGGAGATGTTGGTACATAAAATAGTTGTTCATTCAAACTTTTCAAATCTGTGAAGTATTTATTTTTTCAGAGCAGTCAGAGGAAGTCTATATGTTGTGGTGAAGGGGGAGATAAAATCCCAGTAGGTATCTTGCAGGGCATAAACACAAGAATTGAGTAATCCTGGAATGAATTGGGCTATAGATGGTATGGCAAAAATATGGTGGATCAGAAGAACTGTGTTGGATTGGACCAAAGGCCTATCTAGTCCAACATTCTGTTTGCAAAGAGGATATAAGCACAACTCATCTGAAGTGGAAATAAATAGGACAGCTCATTGAAATGTAGAGGTAGTTAGAAGCAGGAGTTACCTGATGAAAAAAGACTGACTAAGGAAGGTAACAGTCTTGGGAAATATTGGTCTCTGTAGTTCTTGATAAGATGAATATTATTGTGTGCTTATGACTAGCAGCACCAGTGCTTTCCTAAAGTTGCAGTACAACTATGTGTGTGTTGGGTTTACAAGCCTGTAAATCAATTTTGCAAATACTTCTAAAGTACTTCTATGTTTATAAAAAGAACTGTGAGTGTATAGACTTTCGGGGAGATGGAGATGGGGTACAAAAATAAAGTTGTTGTTGTTGTTAATGAAATTAAGGCAGTTAGTGTGATGTCTTTATTGCAAATAAGAAGTTGTTAGTAGAGAGTGGCATCATGTTGTGCAACCTGCACATATGTTTATGCACTTATGAGTTTCAAGCATTGTTCTAGTCTATGGCATGCTGGCTGGGAGTGAAGAGCATGTATAAGCTGCTACCTTATCTTTCAACTGTGAGCATGATTTTGGTTCCCTCTTAACAAAAAAAAGGATTTGTAATCTGTGATTGTGTTTCCCATCTAAACAAAAGCTATCATTAGTGGAGAAGTATTTTCAGTTCTAATCCACACTTTACTCTCAGTCTTTAAAACACCTTAATTATACTCTGCAAGGAAGGAAAATGTCATAGCTAAAGGTTAAAACGGTGGCAATAACAAAGGCCATATCATTTTGTGTGGCTTCTCAATGGGGAGCTGCTCTTCACACACACAAAAATAATTTTATCTTAAAGGAATAGTATATCACATAACCCCTTTTGTAGTAAATATGAAAGGATATGGCCAAGATAGTGCATATTATTCCAACTTTGAAGCTATCCAGTTTTCCTCTTAGATCACAACATTGCAACATTTGGGCATTTAGCAAAAAAAATAAAATAGCCTGTATGTGAATAAAATTGCCAGCAGATAACCTGATCACTTAAATCAAATTCTTAGTTGTCCAATGTGGCTCAGCAACATATGTAAAAATCAGTTCCCTCATCTGAGAATCTGTATACTTCATTCCATGGACCACGACAATTATGCCATACTCCTAGATAGAGATAGTTCAAGTCATTGTTAGCAAAAGATTTTCACAAGGGTGTCTGTACAGTTGAGAGAAATCCAGCAGAGAGAGTTCTTTCTGGTTCCATCCATAACCCTCCTCTTTTCTGTAAACCAGATAATTGTTTATCTGTTAGGTGTCTCTGTCACTTTTTGCAAATGAGTAGATAAGCATGATTGTATCTTTGTTTTATTATCGTTTAAATTCTGTATAAATATGATAGAGTTCTCAACAACCCTGATTTTTGCCCATGCAAGCTAACCACCAGAGATGTTCCATTGCTTCTTTATGCTGCTAATAGAGTTTTTCTGCTCCAGCCACACATAGAACAGAACACTCCATGTATACAAACCATTACATTAGCAGACTTTCACATTAGTATGTTTCAGTTCTTTGTTCACAGCTGTGCTGGATAGAAGATTTCAAAAAAAAAAAACCCTTAACTCAGTAGTTCTCAACCTGTGGGCCCCATATGTTTTGGCCTTCAACTCCCAGAACTCCTAACAGCTGGAAAACTGGCCGGGATTTCTGGGAGTTGTAGGCCAAAACACCTGGCGATCCACTGGTTGAGAACCACTGGTTTAACTGGTGCCTTTGTGGCTCAGGGGAATTTTAATTGATGGCCTGTGTTATTTATTGCCTTTTTGTGATACTAACTTTGTGATATGAACTATTATGATATTAGCTACCAACCTTTATTGAACCTGCTTTAATTAAGTGGCCTGGTTCGTTTAATGCTTTCTGCTTCCTTTCTAAAGGAAGAGGCATGTAATGGTCAGAATCCTCAATGCACTACATTGTTGCATTAACACTAGTTATGTGTAGCTACGTAGTGAATCTTGATGCAACCCCCTTGAGTCCCTGTTTTCTGGTCAGCAGCCACTGTGATAAACAGAGATCTATTTCTCTGTTGCTTGGGATGCAGCTAATATCCCTCGTGTGAGCAATCACCATTGTGGTAGGCAGAAATGGGGTTCCTGTTGCAATCACTCCTTGCAAATGGGATTGCTTACATGAATGGTGTAGTGAGAAAGTCATCCACTTCTTGAGTAACGGGAATATTGTCAAAGGCTTTCATGGCCGGAATCACTGGGTTGCTGTGAGTTTTTCTGGGCTGTATGGCCATGTTCCAGAAGCATTCTCTCATGATGTTTTGCCTGCATCTATGGCAGGCATCCTTAGAAGTTGTGAAGTCCTTTGGAAACTAGGAAAATGGGGTTTATATATCTCTGGAATGTCCAGGGTCCTTTGTCTGTTTGAGGCAAGTGTGAATGATAGGGGGATAGATCATTGACTGGAGTGGCTGCGAACCAGTAGGTGAGGTAGGGTATTTTCACAAGGGACTATATAAGGATTGTTGATAGAAAGCAGTCATGAATGGGTAACTCTTGTTTATGATTGTCCTTTTTAGATAAGAGTTAATGCACAGTGCTCACATTGATTCATGGATAAAATGACCCAATTGTTTTTAGTTGATTTTTTTTGAATAAAATTTCTAGACTAACACATTTAAAACTGAATTCCTGGGAATGTTAGTAAGGATTAGAAAAGACCAGTACATTCAAGGACTATGCTTGCCATACTTAGGGTGCTGTTTTGGTTATTGCAGTATAGCAAGTTGCTGCAGAAGCTGAAAAGTCAGTGCAGGAGTTTGCAAGTGATGTATTCACTTAATGTATTGAAGGTAGCGTGCTAGAGAATATCAGAAATATTTCTGCATTTAGCACAATTTACATCCAACTTCACCCAGCATCACTTCCACTTCTAATATTGCATGGCCACTTCAGAGTGTATTTTGAGAGCTTTTTTGACCCATCGTCACAGCAGTAAAATCTGAAACCTGCAGCTAATAGAAGAACTGGGCATAGAGCCCAGCACTGGCAAGGGTATAGATGATGCCCTGGGGGTCAAGATGGCTGATGTAGATCATGATGTGGATCTGAAGATGTCACTTTTGCGTTCCACCTGTGTTCTACTAAAACCATTAGAAACTGAAACCCAGTGAGACTTCTGTATAATCTTCCACATGTGTTTTGGCATGATTTCTTACTGTCATGGGTTTGTGATCTGAATAATGTCAAGTGTATAGAAGTGGTGCCTGGTAATTATTAGCATATTTTGCAAACGGGAGCAGATGGTGTACCTGACATAAATATTTATTGGCATATTTCCTTTAAATATAAATCAGAGGTGACAATTAATTATACCACAAGTGAAAAGAAGCTAGCCTTAATGACAAGAAAACATTTACAGCTGTTTCTGAAGCTATGAAATACAAAGAATAAGACTCATGGCAACACAAACTGGTAGTTAAATGGACAATCTTTGATATACTTATTAGGACTGTGCAAATTTTTCGTTAGTTGTAAGTTGGATCAAATTCATTAAATTCATACTTATGATGCAATATCCAACACGTAAGCATCCAAACGCTTAAGAATCAAAACTTACGCAATACTTTTTTTGTTTGAATATTGTAAACCTCAGAAGTCAATTTCATGTTCAGTGCAAGCAAGCATAGCAAAGCCAAAAAGGCTGCAATTCCTCTTTAAATTAATGTCCTCTCACCAATAGGAGAGGGAAGCAGCAGGGAGAAAACAGAGTTCTGACTGAGACTGAGAAAGCACAGAATTCTGGGAAATGTAGTTTGGGAAGGCAAGGAGCCACATGCCAGAGAATTCAAAAGGCCCTGCCCTAAACTACATTTTCCAGAATTCTGCTCAGCATCAGAAAGCCCCAATCAGGAGAGGGGAGAGATTTTTCCCTCTGTAACAGCAGCCAGCCAGAGTGCCGATAAATTGTTGAATTTGCAAAGAGGAGGACTGACTGATACTTCTAGTAAAAAAATGCCTGTTCTGTGGTGGGAAGAAATCCCTAAATGGACATTTGATTGGTTAATATAAGAGACATTAATGAGATAGCTCTTGTGGCTTTTTTTTTTTTTTAAAAACAAGTTTTTGTCAAAACTTTTTTAAAAAGTTCCTTAAAATCAGTAGATGTATGAATATTTCTGAAAGTTGGGGAGAATGATCCCCTGTTATCTTGTGTCATTGTATAGAAAATTTAAGGAGATAGCTCTTATAGTTTTTTAAATGTTGTTTATTAAAAAACTAAAATGCTCCCAAAATCCATGGATAAGTGAAACATTCTGAAACTTGTTGGACTACCACTGGTAAATGTGTTCTACCGTTGTAGCACATTTCACCCCAATAGTTATAAAAATGAGGGAGAATGGAGCTCCTGAAGTTTCTTTACTTGCACAATTATTATTATGA